TTCTGTATCACCCAGAACTGATCCTATTGATCCAACTTAGTAAACAAGCAGGCTGGGCACCAGCTCAGCCAGACTCTCAGACTCTGCAGTGGCAGGCTGCACCGGGGGGGTCTGTCCTGCGGGAGAGCAGCTTCCCTGGACGCTTGAAAAAGAGGTGACCAGTGGCCTAGGGGTTAAGTCTCAGCACTGTCACTACAATGGATCCCCCACCAGGGAGCTACCCACAGGGCGCAGCAGACCTCTCCTGTCTCACCCTCTGCTCCCCTCAGCAGTGTATTTCAGTGGATCCGCCTGCTCTGCTCCCCACTCTGACTCTGGTGAGTCCTCTCGCCCCTGCACCTCTGGCCTACACCCCAGTTCTTCTTTGTGCAAAGAAAAGGTGACCATTAAAAGGCCTGGCTTTGACTTTGGGCTAGTGACCCAAGCTCACACCGCGGACGTCTGCCACGCGCCTTTTTCTTAAAAACAAACAACTTGCGCGTTTATTCTCTTACTGAGGTGTGATGACATCCTCGCTGTTCAGAGAACCCGGGGAGCCACGCCGGCGATCCTGCATCCTATTTCACGGGGTTTAGATTCTGCCAGGATCCCGGCCGGCCTGTGCTGGTCCCTCAGCCCCCGAGCTTACGAGGGGCAGAGATGGTGTCCAGTATCCGGAGCCCAGTGGGACATGGACCCAGGCCAGGGTCTGGGGCCACTTGGAGACTGTAGCGCCCAGGAGCCTGGCCCGGGGGTGAGCACCCAAGGGGGAACAGCGCCGCCCCCACCCGCCGTGGGCCAGGACCACACAGCGCCGAGGTCTGGGAGTGAGGCTTGACCCCCACTCGACTGCACTTCTCAGGGGCCCGGGGTCTTGGGCGTCAGGCCCCCTCTGGAGCCCCGTGTCCACATCTACAGAGCAGGGAGGGACCCACAGATTCCTGGGAGGCCTCCTCAGGAAGCTCCGGACAGGCTGCTCAGCTCAGGGTTCGGCAGAGGACAAGCGCCCGTTAATAAACACTGGCTATTTCCATGATGAGGGCTGAACTCGAGAGCTGGGAGACTGTTTCCTTCTTCCTTCAGGCAGCTTCTTGGCATCCACATAGGCAAGGCCATAGAGCTGTTTTGAAGGAAAAAATAGGCCCTCCACCTTTCCCAGAAGCTGCCTCTTAATTATTTCCTTTCCAGCTCCAGGGGCAGCCATGGATAGGTGGGGGCGGGGGGGGGGCGGAATGGGCCACCTCCAGGTGAATGTTCTCAGGAACTTTCTTCCTCTCCAGGGCCCATTCTCATCCCGGGAGGGGCGGCAGAAGGGCAAGCCAGGGAGCCCCGCCTTAGGTTTCTCACATGAACTTGAACAATCTAGGCAGTCAGCTTTCTTGGCCCGGAGAAGTCTGCGAGTGCTTCAGGTTTGCAATCAATCAGCAAGACTAACAGGCATGGGGAGGTGGCCGTGCAGCCCGAGGCGCGCTGCGTGGGCGAGTTTTGCTCTGGCTGGTGGCTCAGGGCTGAAGCCAGTGGGGTGCATCGCGTGGGGAGGGCGCAAGGGCCTGGGAGGGCTGAGGCGTGGGGTTTTCTGCCGGACACTCGTGCTCCTGGGCCGTCGTCCTTGGGCGTGCTCCTGCGCTCGCACACCACACGCTGCCAACAAAGGTGCTTGAGACACTCCCCACTCTCAAGGGGTGCCAAGCTTCTGGGGGTGGCAGGTGACGCGCGACAGCCCTAACGTGGGGTGCTGTTATGGGCGGGGCTCCAAGGGGGAGGGAGGGGAGCCCAGAGTCGGAGGAGCAGCAGCTAAGCTGAGCCTCAGATGACCAAAAGCCTGAGCTTTGTAGAGGGAGCCGGGTGAGAGGAAATGTTTGAAGACAACGAAGGCAGTGGTTTCGGGAATATTCCCACATAGAAGCACCGAGGCTTGGACGTCCAGATGAACAGAAGGCCCAGGCACAGAGAACCGCCCTGCATGGCCCGCAGGTGACAGACAGGTCCCAACTCTCTGGGCCTGGTAATCTGAGAGGCCACTGGAGCCCGGTGAACGCACAGAGCTGGCCAGAGTGTGGACTTGGGGATCCAATGATTCCCTAGTCTCCGCTTTCGTGTGGTGGGACTGCAGCCAAATTGCTTTATCTGAGCCTCCGTTTCCTCATCTGCAAAAGGGCCACATCTCCACCCTCCCTGGAGGATCAGGCTGACTCTTCGAGGGCCACCGCGGTCCTCAGAGAGGCTGGGGCCGTTGTAGGCTCGGCCAGCAGCTGGGTGTCCTCAGCCCTGCCTGAGGCTCCTCCCCTTTCTCCCGATGATTCCCAAGGGTTCCAATGGCTTGGGGGGATCCTGGGAGCTGACCTTCCCGTGCCATGCCCAGCCCTTCACATCCACGCCTGCCTCATCGCAGTCAGTCCATCCCCCCCCAAGCTCCAGGTGCGCGCTGAAGCTCAGGGAGGCAGGACGACTGTCTAAAGGGCACGCGGCTGGGGAGTGGCTCCGGGACTGAACATCAGCTGCCGCCCAGCAATCAGGACATACACGTGTGCGGAGCCTGGCCCAAAGTGCTCAATATTTACTTGCCCTTGTTTTAATCACTTCATGTATAGCAACTCAGTCCTCCTCAACCACTCAAAAAGAAGGGGTGATGACTAGCCCCATTTTACAGCGGCTGAAACTGAGGCACAGAACGTAACGACTTGCCCAAGGTCACATCCTAGCAAACGGCTTTAAAGCAGGCTCCTGCCTCAAACTGAGCCCTGATGGCGACTGTCTCCTCATCTCACACAATTCCCACTTATTGCCCTCAACTTCCTGCCACAGGGCCTTTGCATGCACTGTTCCTGCTGCCCTAAATGCACTTTCTATTGACTTTCTCACAGCTGGCTCCCTCACATATGAGTTTCTGTTTCATCACCTCCTCAGAGATGGCCTCCTGGTCCGCCCTAAAGAAATGTTTCCTTGCCTCTGCCCCAACTCTCATGCCATCCTAACAGCGCAACACCTGTGGGTTGATTGGTTTCTCCTGTGTGCCTCCCCTCAGTCAGCCTCTGGGTCACTCTAAGTCTCCAGTCCTCAGTAGATAAACACTTGCTGAATGGGTACAAGTGCCCAGACTATGCCAGTCCCTGAGGGAGCACCTTCATTGCTCATGATTTCCCCTCTAGTCTGACCTTGAAACCTCTTCCCGCTGACCCCTCTTCCTCCTATCCTCCTTTGGGGTGTGAATTCCAAGTTCTGGGCAGCAGGAAGGGAAGCCACATCAGCCACATCTAGGAAAGCCACGGAGCAGGAACAGGGCATATGCCATCCGCATGGGTGGCTGGTCCCAGGAAACGGATGAGATTCCCAGCATGCCCTGCTGCCCCATCACCTGTCAAACCAGATGGAATTCCCCAGGCGCGCACGCTGCTGGGACCCCGGAGAGCCAGGGGCTGGCGCCAGCCCACCCTCCGGGTGAGGCCCAGCTACAGAGAACCCCCGCATCCACCTACCCATCCAAATACAAGGAAATGGAGGCGGCGGGAGGGCACTTAAGAAATTAAAAACAGGGAAAAACCAAGATGCTGGCCTTGGGGCTGGACTTTATAAAACTCTGAATAAGTAAAACAGTCACACACTCCTCTTGCGAGTCAAAATGTCAACACAAAAAAAGTTTACATGGAAAAACTCACTCCTCTTCATGGCTCCCACCAAACCCTCCAGGTATCCCTTTTATTCCTGCTTCCTCGAGGCTCCTTCCAGGACCCTCCAAGCAAATAAAGCAATTTCAAACACGCACTCTTGCCCTCCCCCACTTTCAAACAACCAGCGCGCAGCCTATTCACCGCACAGCCTCTTTCCTTCCAGGTGGAGACAGCTCTATACCCGTCCGCAGAAAGATAAATACACGCGTGCACACGCGTGGAGACACAGACACCCAGTCATTAAGGGCTTTCCGTAATTTTCATCCCGTGCTCCTGCAAAGAGGGGTTTCCACTGGGGGGTCGGGGGGGGTCCTCTCTCAGCCAGGGGCCACCTGGCCCCCCCCTCCCGTGCGCGCCTCTGGAGCTGGGTGGCTGCACCAAACTCCGAGCAGGAGGCCGCTCCTTTCTAGAAACAACATCTGCAGTTCCAGAGCCTGGAGTATCCACCAGGCAGCAGCAGAACTCCCGTCCCAGCGGGCAGGAAACCGAGGTTCCGAGACTGAAAGTGACCAGCCCAAGGTCACACCGCCGGGAAGTGGTGCTGGCAGGTTCCACCTGGTCCCGAGCCAGAGCCCATTTGCCTTCTCCCCGGCGACCGGCATCCTCGGCTCGCGCACCCCCTTCGCCGCGGGGGGCAGAGCCCCGCGCCCGAGGTCAGGGCCGGGGTCCAGGTCCCAGGTCGGCCGCCTCGGGCGCGCGGGCACCTGCGCCGTCACCGCCCGCGGCCGGGCCTCCCCGCGCGCCCCACGCGCCCTGCTTGCGGGGTGCGCCGCGCTGCGGGTCCCGGAGTCCCGCAGGGCGCGGAGAAGGTCGCGGGGCTCCGGCAAAGTGCTCCGCGGGCGCTGCCTCGCGTGAAGCTCCCGGGGACCCAGACAGGTGGGCGCCCCTGAACCCACTTTGCGGATGGGGCAGCGCATGGGGGTGCAGGGAGACCGCGCGGCCGCCCGGGGCCCCGGCCCGCGAACCGCAGCGCCGGGCTCCCCCCGGTCCCGCCGACTTCAAACTTTCCGCCCCCCGCGCATCGCGAACCCCAACGGCTCCCGCGCGGGGCGCGCACGCAGCCGGCGTCCCCGGGCGTCCCCGCGCCCGGCCCCCGGGTCTGGGCGCCCGCTCGGCCGTGGGGGCGAGGGGAGCCCGGCTCAGCGCCCCCGCCCCGGGCCCGCGGCCCCCCGGGGGTCCCCCGCCAACTCCGAGCGCGCCCGGGCGCCCGCCCGGCTCCCCCCGCCGCCCGCGCCGCGCGCCCATTTGGGGGAGCGGGAGACTGAGGCGCCGCGCCCCGGCCCCGCCCAAGGTCACGCGCGCGGGGGGCGCCCCGAGCCCGCGTGCGCCCCCGTCCCGCCGCCCGGTACTCACAGCCCGTCTTGCCCACGAGCGCCCGCACTTCCTCGGACGCGGAGTGGGCAGCGCCCATGGTGCCGCGGCGGGGCGGGCGGCCCCGCAGGCCCGGGGCTGGCGGCGGCTGCGCAACGGCCGGGCCGGGCCGGGCCGGGTCGGGCGCGCCGGGACGCGGGAGGGTCTGAGCCGCGGGTCCGCGTGGGGCCCGAGCGCGGCCTCTTATAGCGGCGCAGGGCGGGCGCCGCGGTCCTAGCGCGCGCCGGCTTCGCGCGCCGCGGGGAGGGGAGCGCCCCGCGCGGCCGGAGGGGCGGGGGGAGCCCCAGGAGCCCCCGCCAGGCCCCCCGGGCTCCGCGGCCGCGGCCCGCGCGTCGCCCCTCCGCGCTCCGCCGGCTCCGGGGAAAAGCAGGTGTGAGCAGAGTTGGGGCGCAGGGCGGAGGGGTCAGACCCCTGCGAGGCTTCTGGCCCACCCCCCACCCGGGCTCACCCCCGCCCTGCCCGGGAGGGACACTCCCCCGGGACGCGGAAGGCCTGCGAGCACTAATTAGCTCTGCGGCGAGCAGCAATAAAGGTCACGTAATAACAGTAATCAAGGTGGATGCGCACCAGGTGCTGAGCTCGGCGCATCCCACGAAAGCGCCTCCCAACTCCTCCCCAGCACCTTGAGGAGGAGGCCACACCCGCGCCCGCACCGCCGAGTCTGCAGGGCTCAGCAGCTTGGGGGTGGGGGTGCGGGTTCGCAACCTTTAGAGGGGTGGGGAGGTCCCAGCTTGGGCTCAGCCCTGCGCCTTGGAGGAGCTGGGGGAAGTGGCTCTCCAACTCTAGGAGCAGGAGTTAGACCCCGCCCCCTTCTGTCCTGTGATGCAGGCCCAGCCTGGTGGCTGCAGGTACGAATCCCCAGGGAGACAGTGATGTGGGTTGGCCCCAGGCCCTGGAGAAGCGCTGGGCTCCAGGGGAGCTGGGTGGGGCTGTCCTGCCCCCTGTCTGACCACATGCCTGTGCCTTAACATGGGGTAACAGCTCACGGGGTGTCCATCAGAAGGGCCTGGCGTGGGCCCGCACAAGGGGGTCCTGTGGAATCATGTCCACTTTCCAAGGGAGGAACTGACCCGCAGAGGCCAGGCAAGGAGGGTGGAAACTCAAAATCAACACTTTCTGGTTCCCAAGGCTGTGGCTCTGCACAGTGTTCGGAGACACCGTGGCCGCCAACTGCCATGTACTGAGTCTGTCCCGGGGAGCTGGGCCCCGGGGTGGTGCTGGGGTGGGGTCACGGGCAGGAGCTGGGCAGTGCGCTACGGACGCTTCCCTGGCGCTGGGAGGGGCTGCTGAGAACCGGCTGCCCCCAGCAAGGCTCATGGCCCTACCCAGGGGCAGGGGTGCCTGTCAGCGCCACCAGGGGCCCCTGAAATGAGCTGGACTGGCAGAATCCGCCTTCTCCAGGTTGAAACCCTCTACACAACCTTGGCATTTGCAAAGCTGGGCACACCAGACACCAGAAGTCTGCATTGTTAAAGGGCTCTTGGGGGTGCTGAGACCTAGCCTCCTGGGAATGTCGGCTGTGGGACCCCAGCTGGGCTGCCCACCGGGAGCGCTGACCCAGAGCAGGCCTTTAGTCAGGACTCTAGAAATCCTGACTGACTTTGGAGTCAGGAAAGCAGGAGGGGGGCGGGGGGATGTCCGGGGGGCCCTTGGGAATTATCCCTAACTGCTGGGAACCGCTTTCCCCTGACTTAGAATAACAGTTCTTAGAATTTTAGCAAAGTAACTGATGCAAGGGTGAAATGATGGGGCTTACTGCTGCGGCGGATTCAAAATCTCCCAACTGCCTCTCTTCCCTGTGGGCTCGGCCGCTCCCAGAGCTGCGGCCAGCAGGTGTGTGAAGATTGAGCAAAACTCCAAGGCAGTGGGGGGCACATGGTTTTCTCTGCCCCTTGGACAACCTCAGAGAGGACCCCGATGTGCGGAGTGAAGGGAGCCTCTTCACTGACCACCCGTCGGCGCTGTTAACTGCGTCTGAGGCCCCACAGGCCCCGCTGCTCTTAGACGACAGGCTCAGGCACCGGTTCCTCTGACCGGAATCCCTTCCCCCTTCCTGCTGCAGGGAGGCCAGCGGCAGAAAGGCTCCCCAGAGAGGCTTTCAAGTGACTCCCTTGACTCTCTGGGGTCTGCTGCCAAACCGGCCACCTCCGCCAGCCCCCAGGAGCTGGGTGTGATGATCAGGGAGACTTTATTCCTGATGGCGGGGCTTGGAGAAGCAGCAGGAGCTCCTGGAAGCAACAGGGAGGCACAGTCTGTGGGTTCCCTTGTTCACTCGGTTACTCATGGCACATGTATGCGGGCCCCTGGGAGCTCAGGGGATGAGGCACACCTTCGCTCACAGACGCACAGGAGGTGGCCTAGCGGAGGGGAAAACAAGAGCTGGCTCGGCCCTCAGAGAACTGCCAGGTTCCACCCAGCAGGGCCCCTGGAGAGACTGTTAGCCCTGAGCTTTGGGGAGTCCATGATTGCCCCCCGACTGTGGTCCCAAAGGACCACAAAGGCAGATACCAGGTGGACTGAGGCGTCTGCAAGGTTGGGGCACCTGCGCCCCTTCTCTGGCAGGGATGCACAGGCGGCAGGCTCTCCCCCACACAAAGTGTTGCCGCCGCTGCCCAGGATGGCCGCTTTAATTCAATCCCACAAATGCCGTGCTGGCGTCAGGCTAGAAGCCAGCCCGGAGCTCGGCATGGGGCCTGGAGGGGCTGATTGAATCTGTTGTGTGGGGCCCTGGGAGAGGGGCGCCATGGGGAGACCTTCATCCTCCTGAAACACAGCATGACCTTCTGAGGGCTGGGAGGCACTTTGGTCACCAGGCAACTACCTCTCTTCTCCCCCAGGAGCTGATTAAAAGCGGTGGCCTCCATCAGAGTGGTTAGTGCCTGCGAGGCCACGAGGGCAGCTGAGCCCGGAGCTCCATTCGGCTCCCCCACATTCCCAACATGCAGTGAGTGATGGCGCCTCCTGGGGCCTCAGTTTGCCCGTCTGTGAAATGGCAGCGTAAAGGCGGGGCGGCGGTGAGGGTTAAAAGTAACAACTGTAAATTGCCTAAGACAGGCTTGACATGAGTAAGGCCCATAGGTGCTGACAAGGGGAGGGAAGCCATGATTTGTAGCTTCTGCCCAATGTGGTGGCATAAATACTGCCAACTCAAGCTACCAATAATTTAGCAGAGGGCTTGCAAAATACCTGCAGGTTCAACAGTTTGCTCTTGCCAAGTGATCTGAAGACACAGCAGCAGTACGCCCCTCGCCCTGGGCCTGCCTGCCTGGCCCTGTGTTTACCCCCTCGCTCCCACTGCTGCGTGCCAGGAATCTGGACCGGGCAGTGAAGGCGTCAGTCTCTGAGCTCAAGGACCCCAGACTGTGGAAGGAGAGCTCTGCACAGGTCCTCACGAAGGGACCCGCGGCCACCGGAGCCTGCCAAGGGGGACCGGGGAGGCCTGGAACACAAGCCCATTTTCCTGATGGGCTGCAGAGCAGACTCAGCGCGCAGATGTGAGGCTGTGCCAGTGGCCGGCCTGTCGGTCCCGTCTCCCGCCCCTGCCCTCTACTCACACAGCTTGGGTGCACGCCCAAGACTTGGCAGTGTTCTAGGAGCAGCAATCGCTTTTCTTAATCTTTATGCCACTGATGCCAAGAAATTCATGGGGGCTCCAAATATTTAAAACGACTTGGCCTCTGACCCAGGCGGACCACACCTTGTGCAAACAAGTCGGAATTAGTGGTGCATGGCTGACATCCGTGCGCAGGCGCGGGGCGCCCTGCTGGAGGTGCCGCCAGATCCCAGCTCGGCCTGGGCCCCTGGGCCGTGTTTCTCTTCAGCGCATCCTGGCTGGTCTCGGGGACCCTGGGCTCTGGTGTCAGCGCCCACGGAATCAGCAGAGACTCGACCCCACTTTGCATTTGGAACTACTTGTCTTTTCGGTTCTCTTTTCAAAGGTCCCTTCGTACCCGAGCCACCCTGTTCTTTCAAGCTCCCCTCGGTGATGGCGTGCAGAAGGAGCTGGACTCGGCCCCATATGTGGCCCTGAACCTCGATGTCCTTATCTGTATAAAGGGCACCACGCCCCATCCTTAGAGAAGGTGGGAGGAGTCGGTGAGGGGTAACCGCCTGGCACAGAGGGGGCCCTCCACAACCATCCCTGCTTCCCTGGCGGAAATGCCCCGGAGGAAGGGCAGCCTGAGCGCCCCCCTCTGCGAGCTCTCCACACCCCCTTCCCCACCATCCCTGGTGAAACTAACCAGACTCACCCCGGAACCTCTGTCCCGGCCCTGCATGTTATTATTTTCTGTCTTGGGAGAGTGGTTTCTGCCAAGAGATTTTAGAATAGTGGTTCTTCTCTTTCTGAGAGCTTTAAACTGGACCCCGAGTTGCAAAATTGCGGCCACTCTCTGGCTTGCCTGGGGTGACGGCCTGTCGGGTGTCTGCCTTCCCCAGGCCCTTCGCGCCCAGAGGGGCAGCCCTGCCCTCCGGCTCCCGCCCTCCCTGCCACCAGCACCTCCATGGGTGGCCAGAGCCCGAGGCCCAGACCCCACCCCGAGGGAGCAGCTCTGCAGGAGGGAGGGCGGGCTCTGTGGGGAGGGCGACTTGAGCGTGTTTTCCTATTATTTATATAATTATAAACCATGACCTATTATTGGAACTTGCAGGGGGCAGATGGGAGCTCATTCCTGGATAGGCTTCAAACTCCGCGTTGCTGTCCGAGAAACAAGCTCACCAGAGACGCAGAAGGAGGTGGCAGGGGCCCAAGATCTATTTTCGTTTTGCCGCTGGGTGGCTTTACATCCAGCGGGTGGGGCTGGCTTTGCCCCCAGAGGGGCCTCAGCAGGGTGCTGGGTATCTGTGCAGTGGGGGAGCGGGCCATTCAACCGCGCAGCAGGATGCCCGCAAGGCAGAATCATGGCCCCCAAAGACATCCACATCCTAACCACGGAAACTGTGACCGTGTCATGTTGCATGGTTATGGCTGCAAGTCAGCTGCCCGTGAGATGGGGGATACTCCGGGCGCCCCAGGTGGGCCCAGTGTAATGATGGGGTCCTGGTAGGTGAAGGGGAAGCCAGGAGGCCAGAGCTGAGAGCGCTGTGACGAGGTGAGTAGCCCTTGCTGACTTGAGCTGGAGGAAGGGACAGCGAGCCAAGGGATGCAGCAGCCTCTAGAAGCTGCACAGTGCAAGGGAGTCCAGGAAGGAGCACTGTCCTGCTGACACCCTGATTTTAGTCCAGGGAGACCCACTGCAGGCTTCTGACCCCTAGAACTACGAGATGATTATTTGTTTGAAGGCACCGAATTTGTAGCCATGTGTTCCTGCAGCAAGAGGAGATAAACAGGCTGGGTTTGCCGCTGGCCTGACGTCTTCCTAGAGGGGCGACTCTGACTTCTGTGCACAAACACATCACCCAGCGTTCTTGCTTAAATCTGATTCCCAGGCCCCTCTCCAGAGGTTCTGGCTCAGGCGGCCAGGAGCACCCTTGCAGGGCCTGAAGGCGGGTCTGAGGCAGGGTCTCAGGGTAGTGGCTCCGTTGAAAGACAGTTTAATGCCACAAAAATCCATTATTTTCAGTATCCGCTGAATTGTGCAACCATCTCCACAATGAATTTTAGATCACTTTTTACCACCCCACACAGACACCCCGCCCCCTCTACCTATCACCCCGCAACCCTCCCTGTGCTTTCCGGCCCCTCCAACCAGGAGTCCACTGCCTCTGTCCATGGCTTTACCTGTCCTGGGCATTTCCTAGCAGGGGAGCCGTGTGATTCGTGGCCTTCGCGTGTGGCTCCTTTCACGTCCTTGATACCGTCGAGAGGCATCCTGCAGCAGGCGTCTGCCCTTTCTGCCTTTTACCTGCCGAACAATATTCCGCAGCCTGGATGCTCCGCATTTGTCCGTCCGTCCACCGAAGGACGCTTGAGCTGTTGTGAGCTGGACACTTGAGCTACCCACCAGGATGGCCACATTCTGAGCCAGCGGGAGGGACCTAGCAGCTGGGGTGTCATTCTCCCGCGTATTCCTTCCCAACTTCCAAAGCAAGGAGTGGGGGCAGGCGGGGGGGTGTCTAGGTAATTGCATGACTTTCTTAAATGACCTCATTTGGCTGTTACCACCAAATGATAGTCCACCAGGCACTTTCTCCATTCCCATTTTGTAACTAAGGCTCACGGGGGCTCAGGTCACAAGGTCAGACCCCCAGTGGGTGCCAGTCCCTGGCCAGCAGACCAGTGATACCTCAGCAGAGGGCCAGCTCCACTGCAAGTTACAGAGCTGGCAGGAAGGCAAGAACGAGGAAAATCCACTTTTTCCACCTGCTGACCCCGCCTGCCACGATTTCCCCCAGCTACCGAGGAATGACCCCGGGATACTCCTCACTGAGCTCCCAGAATGTTCCACATTATAGGACCTCCCCATCATGAGGTCATGAGGAAGGAAGGCCAGCTGGGAGGAACAAGGACTCAGGCTGCCACCCTGGGGGGCATCTCAGTGGGTGTCCCTTGGGCTCACTGTGTAAAAGGGCTTGACAGCAGGACCAGGCGCGGAGCAGCAGGCCAGCACGGGCTGGAGAGTGCACAGAGCTGGGCCTCCCTGCTCCATCTCGGCGCCCCCCCAGCCAGAGGTGGGGAGCTGGGGGTGTGGGCACAGCCATCTCCCCCCACCCACTCTTTCTCCCTTCGCTCCTGCGTGGCTGCAAGTACCAGCGGGGCCACGGGGCGCCTGGGAGGCAGGATGATAAATACACGTTGGGGTCTAGGGTTGGTGCAGTCGGCAATTTGGAGCTTACTTGGGAGAAGAGGCAGCTGGCACCTACCATTTGGGGATCTTGGGCCAGGAGTGGTGGAGGGCACGGGCAGGCTGGCAGGCTGGCAGGAGCGGGGTGATGGAGCTAAGGGGTGGGAGGAGTCCTGCCGTGCCCTCCCCACTCCGCCCCAGGCAGTGCTGACTCAGCTGCACCCCAGCCTGCTCCCTGATTGGCGCTCTTCCCAGGCGTCCACTCTCGCCGCCTCTGGGGCCACTGTGGACAGCGAGATGGGGCCCAGATCGGCTCTGCCCCTTCATGGAGAAGGAAATGGATGTGAAGGAGAGGTGGGGGCCCCAGAGGCTCCCTCCAGCCCCTTAAGCGGGGACGCCTCTCCCCACACCACCCTTCCCTCCCTCCCACCCTTCCCTTCCTGCCCTCTCCACCCCCACCCACTGCTCCCTTCCCTCCCCATCCCCCTCCACTCCCCCCTCCCCCCCACCCCAGACTCCACAAGGCCGGGAGGAGGAGATGCTTTTGGGGTTTGGGGTCCTGTGTGTAGAGGCAGGTGTAAATCCCGGGCAGGGCTCTGTGTTTTGACCCAGGCTGCTGGGGGAGAAAACCAGAGAGGAGAGTTTTGTTGCCCTGCATGGAACTGACTGGGTGGCAGCTGAATTGGGGGTGCAGGGTTGCAGGGCCCCTCAGAACAGAACAGACCTGTGGATTTGCGGGTGGGGAGACAGTGCAGACAGGAGTAAACTCAGTACCGTGGGGCCCGCGGGAGGCAGGGCAGCAGGCACCCAGGAGGGTGCTGGGGAAGGCCCTGGGGACAGCAGCGTCCAGAAGGCCACGTCCCTCCCAGGGGAGCTCAGTCACCAGGAAGGCCCGGGCAGAATGTGAGGTACAAGCGAGCCACTGGGGCTACCCTGAAATGTACATGGGGAGGGGAGATGTGGGCTCAGATCCTGCAGACGTGGCTGCTTAGCCAGGACCCTCCAGCGAGGAGATGAGGCCTGGGGCTGGGCTGCAGCAAGGCCCCTGCTCGCCGTCGGCCACGGGGCGTGCGGGCGGGGGCACGTCTTCTAACACTGAGGGCTTGTTTCCTACTCAGGCAGATGCAGCCAGAAGACTCCTGGCTTTGGATTGGCTTCTTGACATTCAGAAGTCAAGAACAGAATGTTCTCGACACACATGTATAATTAGAAGCAGCAACGTGCAGCTAAAGCCTCTTTGCGGAGGACTTGGAAGTGGGGGGTAGCCCTGCGTGCTGGGGGCCGCGAACCCGCTAGAATGAACCTGAGTGACCGTCTCAAACCCGGCCACACCTGTGGACAACCTGGGGCTTGTTGAAAACGCCTATTACTCAGGCTACAGCCCAGATCAAATCCCGCCAGGCCAGCGGGGTGGGCAGGATTTTAATTCCCCAGGTGATTCCACCCTGGCTGCCGGCTAGACCCCTCCCTGGAGAGCCCTTCCAGCACCCCTGGACGAGCTGAATCCCCGGCGCCTGGAACCAGACTTGCTGGGGATGGGGGCCTGGTGTCAGTGCCTCCAGGGTGGGGAACATAAGGCGGGGTGAGCCCAACTGGAACCTGCTTCTGTGCACGCCTCCCAGGTGGGCCCTCCAGCGAGACGGCGGACAACAGTGGCCCCGGAAACGGCTACAAGACGCAGCTCATCTACCCCCAGACCCTGGAGAGCGGCGCATTGGCCTGGAGGGCTGGACCCCCCAGCACCCCCAGGCTCACAGCTTTTTCACGGAGGCCACCTGAGACTCGGGGATCGTTGGGGCCTCGGAGGAGAACTCCTCTCGGTAGGGAGCGTCCTGGGAGTGGACGCTTTAGGGATGTGGGCAGAACCTCAGTGTGACCTTGGCGAGTCACTTCCGAGGAGCGGATTGTTCTGTTTGTAAGGAAGGGGTGTGCGGAGAGCGTGTGAGGAGCTCCCGAGCACAGGAGGGGGCTCCCCTTGTCCTTCCTGGAAGACAAGGTGCGCAGGAGGAAGCTCTGGGCCTCCAGAAGTCGGGTGGGATGAGTTTTGGAGACGTGATTTGTCAGGCTCCCACCGGAAGTCTGGAGGCCAAACCAGCCTGCAGAGAGGAGGAAACCGGCTCAGGGGGCTGAGTTGCGTGGAGGGAGGGTGCAGGTCACATTCACCTGCAGCCACAAGCAGCCTTCAGGAGCCCCCCCCGTGCCGGGCAGCACAGCTCTCAGGTTCTCACAGCCCCGCGCGCAGCCCCTGCACCGGCACCTGCAGCACTCGGCGAGGTCCTCCGGCTTCGGCTTCAGCTGCACAAAGCCACTTCCAAGCCACTTGTTTAAGCTGCTTCCTGTCCCTTCTTTCTCTCCCGTCCCCCCAGCCTGCACCTCCACTGCGCTCGCGGCGCCTGGCAGGGAGCCACAGTTTAACCTCAGTTGGGCTCCAGGGTTTATTTTCTCTCGTGAGAAAGTCAGCGGTCACCCAGTCGCCCGCCGGAGCTTCGAGCAAGTTCCTGCTTGGAGGTCTCCTCTTCCTCGCAGGAGGCCCGCTGCTGGGGGTGCCCCAGAAGGCTCCAGGGCGTCTGGTGCTACGGGCAGGCATGGGGGCGTGGCGTCTGTGCAGGTTAGAGCCCCCCAGGAGACAGACTGTGAGGCTGGGAAAGCAGGCTGGGGGCTCCTTGGCCCTCACCCCTGGGGGAAGGGTCCACATTCCGGGGCCAGAGGTCTCCTCCCCTGCTGACCTCTGCTGGTGGTCCCCATCGGCCTGGGCAGCCCGGGTAGCCTGTGTGCAGGGGCAGTGGATGGGGGAGGAGAAGGGAAGATGAGGATCCTCCAGGCCCTGGTGGGGCGCGCTCCCCTGGGCCACCAGGCCCCCGAGGCTGAGGACGGGGTGAGCCTGCACCTGCAGCTGTTGCTAAGCTGGAGAAATCCCACATCCCCCCAGGCTGCTGCTGCTCCTGGCTGGGAAGACGGCTGATCCCTCTGATGTCACCAGAAAGCGCCTCCTGTCAGGCCCCAGCAGCTATTCTTAAACTGGGAACACACCTCCGCCTGCTAGAAGGTTCTAGACTTCAGTAGGCTTTCTATAAACAACTTAGGAGCCAGGGGTGTGCCAGACTGCTGGGGAAGTGCTCAGTTCTGTGCAGGTTCAGAGCCTCGGCGGTGGGGGCACCTCCCTCCCCAGGAGCCTTGCAAACACCGTCATGCGGTCACCTGACATCACCGCGTCCTTGAAGAGGCGCCTTTGGGGATGCCCACGGGAGCGTCGTGTGTCCAGCGGCTGCAGGGTAACTGCTGAAGGGTTTCAGAGGCAATTACTATACAGTAGTTACAGCCCGAAGACCCTAGTTCAAGTCCCGGCTCTGCCGCTAGCTGATCCCGTGGTCGCAAGGACCTGCTTGGCCTCTCTTTGCTCCCAGGTCTGCACCTGTGACACCCGGGCAGCCACGCCGCAGGGGATGCACACCTGGTGCCTGGGGCAGCTCAGGTGAGCCCCCGGGGCCTGAGTTGCTAGGGGTGGAAGGAGCAAGAAGGAACAGCCCAAGTACCTTGCCTCCATTGCGCCCACAGAGGCCACGAGCCCCACTTCCAGGTTAAAGGGCCGGCTGACAAGCACAGAAGCCAGATTCGAACCCCAGTCTCTTCCGCGGGGAAATGCACTGGCCATTTGTGAAGCTCTGCTGCCCCCTAGGGCATGGGAGGGTCAGACACAAGCATGACCGGCCAGCTCCCTGCTCCCCCAACCTGAGACCAGCGCAGTCACCCCGGGCCCCCAAGGGGGATCCTCCTCACACGGTTTCCTTCCCTTGAAACCTTCCCCTCGGTGCTCCCTCTGGGCCTCGGCTGCTCACCTATAAAATGGGTTTAGGACAACAGCATCCGCCCCCAGGGGGCTGGAGCATTATATGACATGTTTGGAAAAGCTTAGCCGCACCCCCCAGCCTTCTTCTCCACGCACCCCTCCACGTACCAACTGACATCGACGGCCCTTCCAGAGCCTCATCTTGGGCCCCGGTGCTCTGGGGACCCGTTGTTTTGCTTCGGTGTCCCCCGGACGGCCTAAGGCTCTGCTGAGGAGCCCGTCGCGCCTGGAGCAGGTGCCCGGGAGAATCCGGAGGACGCTGCTTCTCCACCTGCTCCTCAGCCCACCCCCGGGAATTTCCGTGGGACTCGCTTTGCCTGGGGAAGCACCATCTGGTGACTTTATCCCAGCGGCTCTACACTTTCTCACCTCACTGGGTGACTTCCCAGCAGGGCCAGTGCCTCTTGCTGGCTCCAGGAAGTCTGGAAGGACCGTAGTGACCCGGGGGGTGAAGCCTCTTCCCCGGCCCCCTCCAGCCTGGGTGGCTCCCATACCCAAGGGGCTGCTCACCCCATTCCTGACCCCCCTCACGCTAGCCTCCCACAGGTGGCTGAAGGGGAGGTGCCCAGGTGAGCCTGATGCAAACGGGGCGGGGTCCACTTGGGGTGGGGGAGGGGCGCAGCGCAGCCCCCTAAGATCATATCTGTTGGACTACAATGAACACTTTGCACGTTTTCCCTCTGTTGGGTGCGTCCTCCAAAGCCCAGTTTTCAACTCTCCTTTCTGGAAAACACTTTGGTGTGT